CCCTCCTTCCCTCCTTCCTTCCCTCCTTCCTTCCTTCCTTCCTTCCTTCCTTCCTTCCTTCCTTCCTTCCTTCCTTCCTTCCTTCCTTCCTTCCCTCTGTCACCTCTCAGTAGGTCCTTCCCTCTTCTCTGGATCCATCAAGTCACTGCTTGCATTTAACACTTCAGTAGTTTCTGTAAACTTGTTAGAAAGAGCTCTGGACATCTGTGCATAGGATTGCCTTTTTATCCTTCCTCAGACTTATCCTAAGTTATCCAAACTCAGGTGCTCACAATTTCCCACTGGGTGTTCTCTCCCTGTCCCTTGAATAGTTAGAGAATAGGAGGATGCTGGGTGGTGGTGTTGAACGCCTTTAATCCCAGCACTCGGGAGGCAGAGCCTGATGGTTCTCTGTGAGTTCCAGACCAGCCTGGGGTACAGAGTGTGATCTAGGACAGGCACCAAAACTACACAGAGAAACCCTGTCTCAAAAAAAAAAAAAAAAAAAAACGAAATAAATAAATAATTAATCAAACAAATGAAAATAGGAGGATGTGCAGAATGTAGTTCGAGCCAATGCCCCACCTCAGCCCATAAGTGCAGGCTTCCCAATTATTCTAGCATCCACAGATAACAGTTGGTGGATTTTTTTTCCTCTGAGAAGCTTTCCTTGTTATTGCACAAGCTGGCCTGAAACAACTGAGTCTTCTGCTTCAGCTCCCTACTTAGTTAAATTGCCAACATACACAGCCCACCTGGCTCTGGAAATAAGTTCTGGGTGTAAACTGATGCGTGCAGACATTTTCATGCCAAGGCAAACTGGAAAGACACTCCACCAGAGCAGCTGAACTGCTAGCAGCCCTTGTATCACCTGTAGAAAGCACACTCCATTATCTCAACGTATCTACAAATTGCACTTTCGATACCTACTCTCACTTCTTGGTGTCATGGCCGCGGATCACATCCTTGCCCAATTCCCTATAGAATATGGCCTGGCCATTCATGGGAATTCTCCAGAAAGCTTGTCCAGGAAACAAGTTTCAGGGCCAGGTTTCTGGCTGTCCATCAACAATCCCTCTCAGGGGTCGCCTCTCTCCAATGCTTTGAAATTGCTTTGTGCCTGGGCGTCCTTCTTTGATGTTTGCGGACCTTGCTTAAGGCTGTTCTCAGGGTGAACCCAAGTGTTCCACATGAGAAGATACGGAAACAGGCTGGCATAAAAAGATGATCCTGACCCTGCCCTCCATGCCACCACCCCCACAAACCCAAAGTGCTCTCCTTCTATTGTCATTCTTCTTTCTACTGCTGTGGACTTCCAGAGAGCACAGAGACTCTGCTCTTCAGATCCCCCTATCTCTGCACCCACCGCAGCCAGCGACGTGGGCACTGATTAGGTGAGTTAGAAGGACTGGTGTACAGGAAACTTGATTGAAAGGCCAGGAATCACAGGAAAGAGATTGACTGACATTTTAGGGTTAAGAATGAAAACTGACCCAAATCATAGAGAACAAGACTCAGCTCAGCATTAACCCCACAGATGTGGCTCCCTCACTACCTCACCCTCAGACATTCTACCTAAGTATTTTTGTTGGCTCTCAAAGATCTATCGGCCTGTATGAGTTAAGGGCTGTGAGTAAAAGGAATGATTCAAAAGACCAGGTACACTCTGTAATGAGGGCAGACTCTGTTTAAGCAGAAGTCTCTGCAAACGTCACACTCTGTCTTCTACCCAGAGTCACTCCTGTGAAGCCAGTTTGAGTCTTGGTATTTGGTTAACTGAATGTTAATATTGCATTAATATTAGTATTTCAGACCTTCTGTTCCTTTAGACATGTTCAACAAGCAGTTCTGGCAACTCATGATGGTTTGAAATGAACACAGGGATACAGTTCCTGAGAAAAGATTTGAGACTTTAGAAATGCTGTTGCATTTCCCATAGGTTTGCTGGAAATGCTGTAAGGGCTCAAGACAGGAGAAGCATCATGGTGCAACCAGTGTGACATGCAACCCGGGCTACAATTTCAGAGACCAAAATGCCTTGGTGCTTGGCATATTTCCCAGGCAGCTCTGTTTCCT